TTTCTGCAGCGCACTGTGCAACTATGCATCGTATCCCACACCTGTGCTAGGTAGATGCCTGTGACTTTTTAACTTGGGGGGGCGGGGGGTTGCAAATGAAGGAACTTTTTACACGGATCTTTTTAATCTCAGCTGATCGGGGGAGGGGGGTTTGGTTCTAGGGTCATACAAGCTCTATCCCAAAGCAAAATCCAAATGTTAATAATCTTAGCCTGACGCAGATACCAAAGATAATTCTGTCCTGCACCATAGACTGTGTATGGAGTACGTGTACCCAGCACTTGCATTAGTCTAACCTCAGCAGTTCCAAAGCTTAGATGTATATTTTGGTATATTTCTGGGATATTAAAAAAATGTTGTTTAACTTCTCGTTTGTTTCCGTGTAAAGTCATAGCATGAAAATAACTGAACTGTCCTATTCTTAGTAGTTTGAAATAATAGTATTTTTGTATGTTGGGTGTGTCTATGTATGTATTAACATAACAGTTTTCACTGCCTAGGTGTTCATAATAAAAAAGAAATGAAAGCGTTCTGCGTACATGCTGTTCAGTGATAAACTTCACCGGTTCGGTTTGGAGTGCTTACCGCTGGTTACTGTGCCCCGCTGGGGCTTCGTTTCTTTAGAGAGACAGTGATCGTGTTTTTCCAAAAAGGTTTCTTTCTCTCTGTCTTTACATAACTCCCCCCACTTTTTTCTTTATTTTAAACTATTGATTCAGGGGTGTTTTTCCACTGTTGTCAAGGGAGGGACACAAGGGGGAATTGGCCCCTTGACCTCCCAGAAATTTTTGTTTTATGTATCTAACTTTAAAATGTGAGTTTGAGTTCTCTTTTGTGGAAACTTAAGATGTGGTGTACGTGATTCTTTCCAGCATTGTCCCCAGCTCTAGCGAGGCAGTGAGGACTCCTGGGTAGGCGGTTGGGAGTCCTTCCACATTTCTCCTGGGTGACTTCGTGCTCTGGTTGGCTATTGTGTAGCCTCACTGCCCTAGTTGCCTGGGTAGCCATTGCCCCCCCAGAGGAATATTCCATAAGAATCAGCTGATCACGTGACATCTGGGACTGTGTTATCCGGGTCCCCGGGAAACACAGCAGCTTCACCTTGGGGGGGATTCCCTGATACCTCCTGAGACCTGAGGAATTGGGGGGATATGAGCGGTGCTATCTCCTTAAAAGTGCCCTTCCTGTGACCCCTCCTGGGCTACCTGCAGGGCTGTGGGCTTGGGAGAGGCTGTGTGGGTGACAGTGAATCAGAAGGAAATGCTAGGTTTTGTGTAGATGCATTTGTCTGCTGTAATTTTTTATATATATTAAACTTAACTGTAACTGTACAGTTCATTTCTGTTGTAAAACATCATTAAACCATTTTTCCGAGTGTTTTTGCATTGTTTGAGTTTCTCTGATGGTATTGTGTTGGTGTCTGGATGCTTTACACACATGCCCACTGACTGCTCACAGCAGTCCTGCCAGTCATCTCTCCAGCAGGTGCCAGGCACAGGGTTCTGCCTACCCCTCCTCCCTCCCTGGCCCTGAGGGTCAGGGGACAGGAGTCAGCAGCAGTGGACTCTTCAGACCTCAGGGCTTACTGTGATCAAACGTGGAGGCCCTAGGTTGATCCACGAGAGGGCTCTTCAAAAATCCTGTTTCGCTGTGCACTCGACTCCAGAGCTGACAATGAACTTGACTTTCCCAGGTGTATCCTTTCAACTACCCTGCACCACTTGTTCCCTGGGGCTCCTCGGGAGGAAGCGGATCCTGGCTCAGCCCTGACTCTTCTGCCTGAGGGCACACGGCTTCGCG